ACAACGTAAAGGGGGCAGACGGCAAGGACTACGCCACAGGGCCACGAGAGTCTGCAGACTCCTCAACTGGGACTACCGACGGGAGGGGGTTGACGTGAGACACACCAGACGGGGCAGGGCGGGGAGGTGGGGAAGCAGGGGCGACCAGGGGAGGGGGGAACTGGAACAGGGGGGGAGTAACCGGGGGACCACGGTGGGGAAAGCGGTGGTAGGAGGAGACAGACTCGTCAAATGTGACGTCGCGAGAGCGAAAGAAATGGTGAGACGGCGGGTGGTAAAGTGCCAGTCAGACGAGTCGAGGGGGAAACCGAGGAAGACACAGGGGACGGTGCGGGCAGTGAGCTTGTCCGTGCTGGAGGCACAAACGTGAGCAAGGCAGCCCCAGACGTGGAACGCAGACGCGTCACCAGGGGACCCGGTCCCGAGAAGGGTCGGCAAAACCTGCGGCTGCTGGGGGTGCAGCCACAGGTTAAGCTGATGGGCGGCGTAGCGAACGGCGAACGGCCAGAGAAAATGGGGTGCACCGGCATGGATCATAGAGGTACGAGCCACCTCCATGACTAGACCGATGCGTCGCTCAGCGACCCCATTCTGCTGCGGGGAGTCTGGCAGGGTGAACGTCTGGGTGATGCCCTCCGCACGGCAGAAACGACCAAGGACGCCGGAGGCAAACTCGCCACCACGGTCGGAGTGAAGACGCAGGACAGGAAGGCCGCGGTGGAATCGCGCAGAGACCAGCCACGGGATAAGAGCATCAGGCATGTCGGCCTTCCGCTCCAGGGGAAAGACGGTGGTATAACGAGTGTAGTCGTCAACAAGGATGAGGAAGTAACGCTCGCAACGCGGCCCATGAACCGTAGCAGGGCCCCAGACGTCCATGTGCAAGGTCTGCAAGGGTGCAGTGGTGGGGGGGAACGAGGAGGAGTGAGGGGCACGGCAGAGCCGGCCCTCGACGCAGGGGGAACACGGCGGTGCGGGTGAGGGGGGGAGCGCAGGGAACGACTCAGGGAGGCCTAGAACACGACCGTGCTGAGACGTATGACGAAGACGGGGGAGGGCAGGGTGACCTAGGCGGTGGTGCCACAGTAGCATCGGGTGAGTGAGCGACCGACACGAGCAAGACGCAGCTACCCGAGAAGACACAGTCACCTTGGGAGACGCCACAACCGAGGGGGGGGCGGTGTCCAGTGTGAACAATCCAGACACCGGGTCCCGGGGGAACGTGGAGAGGGGAGCACCTGCGGCGGCCTCGATACAGACAGCGTACCGCTCGTGATCAGGGAACGTAGTGGTGACGCCAAGGTCCTGGAGGCAGCCGACACCAAATAGGCTCCTAGAGAACGAGGGGATGTGCAGGCCAATAAGGGAGCCCGAAGGATCCACTGGACAGGGAAGGGTAGTGGAGCTACGAGCTACGACAGGGCCGGAGGAGGGGTCGGCCAGGGAAAATGCGGAAGGGGCTGGGAGTGGCGTGAGAGTAGTGGAGTCCTGGAAGAAGCACCGAGAAGAGCCAGAGTCAAGGGTGAAGGAGAGCGCGGCAGTGACGGCAGGAGCGGTAGGGGCAAGAGAGGAGCCTAGGCTAAACAAAGCAGGAGAGCCTACGCCTGACACAGCAGGAAGGTCTGAACTAGGCACACCTACACAAGGCAACACTGGGTAAACAGAACCAATCACACTAGAGTCATCGACATACAGCACATACAACGCAGAGGTAATCTTATCCATGTCCATATAAAAGATCTGAACACCCTGTCGGAGCAAGCTGAGCCAGTCGGGGAGGTCGGGCGACGGGCCGAAGCGAAGACGAAACAGGTCGTCCAGGCGACTGAAACAGCGAGTGGAGGTGTGACCGATCTTACCGCACACAAGGCCACAGCGAGGACCGGTCTAAAGCTGGTACTGGCAGCGCCCATCGCCGGCGCCACCACCCGACTGCACGCCACGCGCACAACCAGCGCGACCGCCGCCACCGCCAGCTCCGGGCCACCCGGGCGGGAGACGACCAACGTGCCGCTGCTGCTGCTGCTGGCGTGGCGTCTAGTGGTGGTGGTGCTGCTGCTACTGCCGTGGCTGTTGTGGCTGTAGCTGCTGCTGATCCTGCGGTGGAACTGGCTGCTGCTGCGGAGACTACTGCTCGGTGGTGCCAGGCCTAGCACCCTCCTCCGCACCCTGTGAAGGCAACCCTGCGACAGCACCTCCTCCACCCATACCGCCGCCACCACTACCACCGCGCCCAGCCTTGGGGCAGCGGCCCTTTCCCGGACGAAACTGCACTGCACCAGCTGTCTCAGCCGCAGCAGCAGACCCGTCAGAGAAAGTGCACTGAGCAGGTGCACAACCCTGAAAGATAGAGACCGGCACAGTACCGCTAGACTGGGCGATAGAGCGCTTTCGAGTCTCTATGGCTGACAGGGTATCGACAAAGTCAGGGAGGGTGAGGTCGGCAGGGTGGAGACTAAGAAAACGATCGCGGGCAGTAGCAAGACGGTCAGGGAGGCGGGTGGCAAGCAGGTAGAGGGTAGCACAGAGGGGGGGCTGGAACACGCTGAGCTGGGCCTCAGTGCAGGCAGAGCGCCAGGTCGAGTCTAGCGTGCACAAGTGGGCAGCTAGGTCAGCGGTAGTGGGGAAAGACGCGAGGTCAGGAAACAGCAGAGGCAGGATCAAGCGATCGACGGAGGCAGTGGACGGAGTGGAATAGCGCTTAATAACAACATCTAGGAATTCCTAGGCGGTCCTGACCGACCTAAAGCGGGGACGCTCAAACAGGGGAAGGGCATGACTGATGGCTAGCTGGGCAACAGCGTCACGCGACAACCAGACCAAGCGGGCAAGGGATGCAGCAGTAGCGGACTCACGCTCAGCAGACGTGGGGTCAGCGGGCAGCGCAGCAGGGGGGTCAGGACAGGGGAGCGTACCGTCGAGGTGTACAGCCAAGGAGGGGCCGCCCTGCCGCTACTCAGTGAGGTGACGGCGGAGGTCGACGAGCCGCATGTCGAACTCGATCGGCTGACCCTCCGCGTCAAACCGCAGCACAGAGTCCGCCATCAGGGGCGATGCAGCTGCGGTGCAGGGCGGTGCAGTGTGGTGCAATGCGATGTAGTGCGGTGCAGTGGGGTGCAGTACGGTGCAGTGGGGTACAGTGCGGTGACGGGCGGTGCAATGCGGTGCAGCGCAGTGCAGGAGCCGGCTGCACGGGACGTGCAGCTGGGTGTCAGGGCCGGGCGCTGAGAGCGAGCCGGTGCGGGCCAGGGCGGGGCGGGTACAGGCCGGCGACGAACGGGCGGGGACGGGTCGGCTACGAACGGGCGCGGAGGGGGGGGGGGGGGGGGCAGCGATGGACGGGCGCGGGGCCGGCTACGGGCGGGCGCGGGGCCAGCTACGGGCGGGCGCGGGGCCGGCTAACAGACGGGCGCGGGGGCGGCAACGGACGGGCGCGGGGGCCGGCTACGGGCGGGCGCGGGGGCTGGCTACGGGCGGGCGCGGGGGCCGGCGAATGGACGGGCGCGGGACCGGCTACGGGCGGGCACGGGGCCGGCTGACGGATGGGCGCGGGGCCGGCTACGGGCGGGCGCGGGGGCCGGCTACGGGCGGGCGCGGGGGCTAGCTAACGGACGGGCGCGGGGCCGGCTACGGGCGAACGTGGGGCCGGCTAACGGACGGGCGTGGGGCCGTCTACGGACGGGCGCGGGGGCCGGCTACGGGCGGGCGCGGGGCCGGCTAACGGACGGGCGTGGGGCCGGCTACGGACGGGCGTGGGGCCGGCTACGGGCGGGCGCGAGGGCCAGCTAACGGACGGGTGCGGGGGGTCGCTACGGGCGGGCTCATGCCGGCTACGAGACGGGCGCGAGACGGGGCCGGCTACGGGACGAGCCGGCTACAGGACGGGCGCGGGGCCGGCTACGAGGAGGGCGCGGGCCGGCGACGAGGCGGGCACGGGGCGGGCTAGGAGACGGGCGCGGCTACGGGACGGGCACGGGCGCGAGCTACGGGCGGGCACGGGGCCGGCTACGAGGAGGGCGCGGGCCGGTGACGAGGCGGGCACGGGGCCGGCTAGGAGACGGGCGCGGCTACGGGACGGGCATGGGACGGGCGCGGGCCAGCTACGGGATGGGCGCGGGCCGGCTACGGGACGGGCGCGGGTTAGCTAGGGGGGAACGGACAGGCTAGGGGGAGGAACGGACGGCTAGGACCTAGGGCGGAAGCGCGGGTGGGCGAACGAGACTTAACCTACTCATGATACCATGTTAGAATGATGGAATGAATTAGAATGAGAGAGTACAAGAGAATATAGGCTAGTGTTGTACCCTCTAAGGCACAAACCTATACAGTCTATAATAACATACTAAGATATGTTTCGACACAGACGTCCGTTTTTGTGACTGAGGGACAAAACTGAGACGGGGCAGAGGGTACACTGTCGAGAAATGCGAGCAGGGGAAATTGGGCGAGAGGAGGCAGTTACCTGATTGGTTGGCGGGAAACACATGACGTACGGTGGGAAACGTGGCTCAGGAAAAATCGCAAGCAGCGCGCCACCTGTTGCCCAGCCCCCACTGCCTGTAAGTTGCACCAAGTGGGCCCAACTTGAATTTCAAGTTGGACCGAGGTTCACTACTCCGGCAAAAACGAGGCTGGGCCTCGATTGGTTGAAATGCTAACTGCGCGAATCTGTGGTCATAAAATCTATCGCCAGTGCGAAACGTCGCAAGGGAAATTCGATTTCGTGGCCTACGGCTTGGTAAAAAACGCGGGCTGCTGCCCGCCCCTCCAAAAACATATTCGCTGTTGGGTCGTTTCTAGTTGGGCCCAACTAGAAAGGGGGGTCACTATTATAACCTCTCGCTTTAAGAATATCCTTGATGACCTCCAAGTGTTTGTGCAAGACGAAACACTGAAAGTTCTTGAAGGGCAGCCTCTCGCACTGTGAGAAACGCAATAACGAATATCGTTGTTCTCGTGTGCATGGTGTATGGCGTGGAGCTTACGCTGGAACGACTCAAGCGCAGCACACGCAAGATTCTCAGCCAGGTCGCTCCGAGAGCCGTCATGGCTGTGATCTCTGGTGAATTATGGTTAGCCGGGTCGTTCGACAAGCGAGTCTCTGGGTCTAATTGCGGCCGATCTGGGAGTGAGTTTGTGGAAGCAGAGTTGTTGTCGTCAGTTCGAAAGCTTCGTTCAGGAACGATATAACGCTGACCAATGGCCTTCAGGCTTGGTTCGGGAAGGGTTTCCCGAGCAATTGGAAGAGGCAGCTGTGCGAGGATCTCCACAGGGCCAAAGATAATGTCTCCAGCACATCAAGGGGGTAATCCTGTGCCGTGGATCCGAAGGTTTAGCGCGACTATGATGTCTCTCCAGTAGTTATTAGTTCTGAGGAGCTTCTGCTCACTTGCTGCGCAGGTCCAACGCCCACGAAGCCACGAGATGCGGTAAAGGTGCCGAAAGAGGCTGACTTGAGCGCCGGTGAGTAGTTTCTTATGCTACATCGTGTTCTGCAGAGCTCTTTCCCTCTAACCAACATGTTATTTCCCGTCGTTTTGACTGGGCAGTTCTGGATAAGAATATGGGCACTCTATTGATGACTGAATTGTTCCGTGGCATGGGTATGACGCTCAAATATTTTTTCGAAAAGAAGGTCACGGTAAGTGATGTAACAGCATGTCCTCACACTGACAGCCAAGCGAGGAAAGCTTGATGTACAATTTGCTTGTGTTTGTGGAACTCGTGGCAGATTAATTATCCTTTTGAAAGGAGCCCCTTGAGCGCTCGCTTCAGGGGTGAACATGCTTTGAGGCGTTATGAGACCGGGGAGGAGAGGTGCATTGCGTGCAAGCTGTGTGAGGCGGTGAGTGAGACTATGCACAAGTGGAACTGTAAGTGGGCAACTCTTTCCAGATAGGCTTGTTCTAGCTGCTGGCTCTTAGTCCTTTCTCCACCTTTTGTCTACCAGGTGTGCCCTGCACAAGCCATAACTATCGAAGCAGAACCTCGTGAGGATGGTAGCCGCCGTACTACTAGGTGAGTGGTGTTCTGCAGTATGGCTTGCTAGATAGGTAGAGATGTTTTTTGTTTGCACTATCAGCCTGCAAACATCTCCTATCTGGCTGGCAGGTATGACATAGACATGACGAAGTGCATCTACTGTGGTCTGTGCCAAGAAGCATGCCCTGTGGATGCTATTGTTGAAGGGCCTAATCTGGAATTCGCCACTGAAACACATGAGGTGAAGTGTTCTTTCTGAGCAGATAGGTGCTTGCCCTAGGGAAGTTTCATGCAGGGATCTTATGCATGGATCTTATGTGTGAACATGCAGGAGTTGCTGTATGACAAGGAAAGGCTACTTGAGAATGGTGACCGCTGGGAGTCAGAGCTGGCATACAACATTCGCGCCGAGTCACTGTACAGATAGGAGATTGTCCTGGGAGGCCATAACTATCTGACAACGTCACTCTTCGTTTAACCAGGGTGAAGAAAATGCTCTTTTAAAGGGATGCTGCAGACCAATGAGATGAGAACATGGTACCATTGTGCAGAAAGTTCGTGCCATGATGAGACTTACTCTGTAAATGCTTTGGGGAAGTCGTCTCTTAAGTCTGTCAATCCCTTCATACATGACCATTTGCAGGTCCATCCGTGGAAATTCTGGCTTCCGTAGTAATCCAGAAACTGGCAGTACACAACAAAAATCCGTCATTTCAAGTAGATTGTGAGGGAAATGCTCGGAAGGCAGCCGTGACGCGACTTACTGGTGAACAGATGTCGGGAGACACTATCGCCAGTGTCAATTTCAGCGAGCTGGACATAGACCCTGCAAAAATAACGACTGAAAGTCTGGTTCGTTCTTCATCATAAGATGTGCGCAATGGAGATAAAACCCCCGAGAAGGAACAAATCCAAGATACGCTGTCACTCTTACTTGATGAAGGCTTCTTTTGGAGTCTCAGCTTCTTCAAAGATGCTGGAAATGCCCTCAAGAACACCAGAATGAACAAATCTGCATACATATGGCTCGTCAGGTGTGTAAAGAGTGCGCGTTCACACGGCACAACAACCCAGAACCTACCTAGATCGTGTTGCTGATTTGATTAACTCAACGAGTTTTGACAGGGTATCCCAGTGCATCATGGCGGGCTGCTTGATCTGTTCACGTCACGTGGGTTTGGTCAATAAGCAGGCATATTCAGAATTGTGCTTGAAATATCTTACCTTTTCCATCAGGGCCGATAGGACAACTTGTGATCTCATCTCAGACTCTGGTAAGCACGAGCAAATTCCGGCACTCCACATCTCGTGAAGGAAGTTATCCTCGGAGGTCTCCTCAAGAGAGTAGAGCGCAGCATGAAGAACGGCTTGAACTGTCATGTCACGTATGTAAAATACGCCGAGTATAACTGAACACTGCAATGAGGAAACTCACCAAGGACGTCCTTGTTCTGGTAAGTTGCGGATACAAACATGCTTGAAATAGCATTGGCTGCAAGCTTTATGCTGCCTTTTGTCCAGGGAGCGTACATGAGCGACTGTAAGCTGAGGTCATTAATTAACGAACTGCGGAGAGCCACGCGGAACATTGAGACAGAAAAAATGTTTCTCCACGAAAGTGTTTCGTGACACCTTGTGCATTTGACTGGACGGGTACCTTGGGCCGATAACGCCTTCATCTTCAAGAACCCACAATGTCTGAACGACTTTAATGAATGCTTCTGGCTCTGTGACCGCGAACCTCGTCCGCTCACCAAAGATCTGGTACAATTTGTACTTCAACAATCGCCATTGCACACCAAACACAGCAGAGAATCACAAAACGAACTCACAAGTTGGACCAGCGCCTCCGCGGCCAGAGTTGAATCCTGTCTCGCCTCCAGAATCGCTCCTGAGCTTACGGACGAACGAAGACACGATTCAATTGCATGAAGCCTTGGAGAAGCGGCAAGTCCATGACCTTGGGATGGATTGTTGTGAGGAAAATATAGGCCAGTCTCGAACTGGTAGATTAATTGGTGTACAGAAGCTGCAAAGTTGGTCTTCGTCAGAGCACGAAGGACTGCTCGTGGATCAGGCATTGCGATTTCTCGAAAGGAGGTTGTGAGGAGAGGAGAGGGAAGGAAATGGTCGCAAGGAATGCAGCTTAGCAGTTGAGGAAAAACAAAGCTGGTGTGCGATGGAAGCTTGAAATGTTGATGTGCACTTGAACATTGTTGAAAGGGAGGATTCTGCAGCGAGTTTCAGACCCTCGGGTTTCGGGCGAGACCCCTGGCTGGAGAAAATTTGCCTCGGGTTGAATGGAAAACTGACGGTGTCTGCCAGGTAGCCGACAACCATAACTTCTCTGCCTTCGCGCGAATTATCGTCCACCAGTGACTACCAGGAAGGGCGGGTCCAAATAGTTTCATACTCTATTCATTTCGTGAATAGTAACCCCATTTTAACAAGTAAAACCTTGCTTAAGGTTTCGCCAGGACACGAAAGAAACTGACGCGTAACGTGGGACACCCTTCACATGCGTCGGGCCATGTACCAGATTTCGGATTGGTAACGTAAAAAAACCGTGAGGTGCAAGATTCGGGGAGGGGGTTCCAAGTGTGTCGCGCCTGGATTTCGCCCCGCTGGCAGTGACGAAAACCAGGCGACGTCGCGAATGCATCTGCGCGCGCGACGCCAGACCGCATCCGCGACCGAACCCGCCCCGAGTTGAGTGTCTCTCTCGCATGTGGCTATGGTGATTGGGCCAACTTCGATTTCACTCACAACGTACCAGAGAGCGTACTCAATGTGGCTCACTTTTGTACTTTAGCGACAAGACACGGCACATTCTATCCACTCTACATGCCGAAGCCTTTTCTGTCTATTTTTACGTTACAATCCAAAGTGAACAAAAACTTCGTCGAGTTTCTGACCCGAAAACATTTCTCTTCTCATCAGCGAGGGGGCATTCCGCGCTCGAGGCAAGCTGTGAGGCAGTATTTCGGAACATCAATTTTACGACCCAGATCGCCGAATATGAAATTTAATCATATCCACTCAGTATGGAATTTCGCGTTGAAGTCGCGCCTCGAGGCTCGGGCTCAGTGGGGAACACTTCCCCTGAGTGCAGTCGAAATGCACGAGTTTCTTATGAGCGTGTTTTTTTCTTTGTGCGCATGAACTATCCTCTTTCTTGTACAGGCTAGGTTAACTTGCACTGCGATTTTTTTGGTACACGTCAAACGACCCCTTTTTGCACTCCACCGACTAGCGGGATCTTCGGACCCGGTGTATGAAACGAAGGGTGAACTACAGTAATGGCGAAAGGGATATGGTTTTTAAGCAAGGTAAGTTTTCCAAAACAAATCTGCTCTTGAAGAATAGTGGATCTGCTTAAAAACCCATGCTACGGTAGTTCTCGGGTCTAGTTGGAAGGGATGGTTTGTTCATAGCCTAAACGTTCCATGGTGCTTGGTGGTTGTAGGAGTCAGCGTAATTAAAACTTCAAGCGGAATGCCCAACAACCCTGAAATTCTCCTCAGATTTCGTGTGCAACAAGTACAAATTTCAGGGCAGTTGGTGTCGCGCTAGTGGCATCAGTCTGTTTACGTCTGCACTGCAGTTCGCATGCGCGCCCTGGACAAATGCCATGAATTAATTTCGCCATTTTCAGTGGGAATCGCATGACAAATGTCACGAAGGCGTGGTTTGGGTTTGGATTCAACATAGAAAAACGCTGTTAAAGCTTTGACATGTATAGTGAACGTTATGTGCCGTGTCTTTTCTCTAAAGTACAAAAGTGAGCCACATTGAATCAGCGCTCTGGTACGTTGTGAGTGCAATCGAAGTTGGCCCATGGTGATTTTCCCCGCCTGTTGTATTTTACGCGCTGCGAAACAGATGTTTCGCGCAGGTGTACATTTGGTAACTGCGTTTTGGGCATTGCGACAATCGGCGTCCCACTTGTGTGCTATATGCAAACGGGGAAACAATTTCCGGTGTTTACAAATTCGGAGTCGTTTCATGGATCTGTACCCAAGTTCGTAAAATCGTGTCCTGAATCCCGAAATGAACTATTTGGACCCGCCCTAAAGGTCAACTGCAACAGTCCCGCGATAATGCTGAGTCATATGGGGCAAAACCCACTTGGCAGCAAATGGATACTGTTTCGCTGATGCGCCGTCAATCAAACTAAACCCGCAGTTAGGTTGTGACAAGCCGCGGCTCCTTCAACCTCGAGTCGGCCTCAGGTCTGACACTCGCCCCGGAAAAATCCCCAAGTACGAGACCGAGCTGAACATGGAAGAGAAGTGAGGACGTGTTCAGAATGGGATGGCGCGGAAAAGAGTTTGTGCACGGTGAGAAATCACAATTGAAATACAGCTGACGTTACGGTACAGAATGAGCAACAGTGTTTTTTTCAACACTCCGTAAAAGCAAGGGCTGCTAAACCTAGAACGAACCTAGAACGAACGCGATTCGGCCAAACCAGGCTTTGGGGAAATTGAACGCGTTTGTAGCACCTACTCCCCCGTTGGTGACCGGTTCGTCAACCACTGTACTTGACGTAGCTTATTAACATTCAAAAATGCGAGCTGACGAATTTCTAACCATCCCCTTGAGAGATACTTTCATAATTTCAATCGTGAACTTGTCAGGTTTCTGGTGACACGACTACGAGTTAGCAATGGCGTCGTCGCTTGGCGATGCAGATCTCTATGCGATCCTAGGGTTGAAGATTGAAGGCGATGCGGCTCCGCCTACCGCACCGGAAATTAAGAAGGCGTACCGAAAGCGTGCGCTCGAATTGCACCCGGACAAGCGACCAGGCGACAAAGCAGCAGGTACGAGGAGATATAAGCCTCGTACCATTCCGCACAGCTTCTTCGAGTGCTCGTTTACTCATGTTGTGCTGATGAAAATATTTTAACGATGAGAAACCCTGGCGCCCTTAGAGCAGCAGCTTTGCGATTCCTTGGGCGGGTGTTGACCCTTGGCGTTTCTACCACAGTTTGCCTCCCGTTCGTTTTCCGGACGTATCCTTCATTCAACACCACTCTCCGTTTCAGCGGAAGAGGTTGACTGGAAGGCTAGTCAACTATACAAAGCCCCCTTGCTCCCGAAGCACCCTCCCTTCCTCACCCCCTTTTCCCTCGCTGCCAATGTATGCCGTTCAGCGGCGACGAGCTGCAGACGCGATTACCGGGCCATCTCACTCTCTACCCCTCCTTGCTCCCCTGCCACTCCCTCCCCCTCTGCCCTGCCCTCTGCCCTCTCCCCTCCAGCGGCGGAGTTCGACGAGCTACAGAAGGCGTACGAGGTGCTGTCGGACGACAAGGCGTGTGACCACCTGCCACTCCCTCCCCCTCCCCTTCTCACTGCCCTGTCCCCTCCAGCGGCGGAGTTTGACGAGCTGCAGAAGGCGTACGAGGTGCTCTCAGACGACAAGGCGCGCAAGGCGTATGACGACCTGCGCGTGGTGCGGCGGGAGCGCGAGCGCAAGCTGGGGCAGCAGAGCAGCAAGCGACAGCGCATGGTGGCGGAGCTGGCGGAGCGGGAGAGGATGGCGGAGCGGCAGCGCAGCGAGGAGGAGATCGCCAAGCAGAGACTTAAAGCGGAGATAGAGAGGATTCGCAAGGAGGCGGCGGCGGCAGCTGCTGCAGCGGCTGCTGCGGCACGTGCAGCGAGGGGTGGAGGGGGCGGGGCGAGTGGGGAGGAGAATGGGATTGGAGGTGCGGGGGTGGTTGGGGAGGAGATGGAGAGAACGTTGAAGGTGTCTTGGTTGAGGGGAGGGGTGGAAGATGGAGAGGGGGGAGGGGGAGGAGGCTGTGGAGGAGGGGTAGCAGGGGGTTCAGGGGAGGAGTACGGTGTGCAGCGGTTGTGGCGGATGTTTGAGGAGTTTGGGAAGGTGGAGGATGTGGTGGTGAGGGACGGGGCGAAGGGGAAGGGCAAGGGGGGCAAGGCGAGGAAGAAAGGCAGTGCCCTGGTGGTGATGGCGTCTAAAGAAGCTGCGGTGAGTCAGTGAGGGAAGGGAGGGACGGACGGACGGGGGGGGAGAGGGGGGGGGGGGGGGGAAAGGGAGTGGGGGAGGGAGGGAGGGTAGGGAGGGGAGGGAGAGGATGGAGGGGCGGAGGGGACGGGGCTAGAAAGGCAGGAATGCAGTAAGGAGGGGTGGGCGGTCAGTGAGCCTGTGGGAGTGAGTGGGGGTGGTGAAGGCCTTGTGAGCAAGGAGGGTCAAGGGCAGCTGTGAGCTTTTCCCCATGCCATATCCATTTTATGGCATTTTTAACTCTTGCATGCACACATTCTTCTTTGCATCTTGCCCCCCCTCATCTTGCCGTAACAGATTGCAGCAACCCGCTCTGTCTGTGGCGATACCTCAAACCCCCTTATAGTCACGCGCGCAGTGGCAGCCCCTGCTGCATCCACCATATGGGGCGCTGACACCCCCTTCAACCCCTCCGCTGCTCCCGCGGCAGCAGCAGCCTCAACAGCAGCAGCAGATGCTGCGGCTGCAAGAGCCAGGGCTGGGTCTCATGGTGCCACTGGGGGTTTTGGGATGGGAATGGGCAGTAGTGCCGGTGGCAGTGCAGGCTTGGGTGGAATGAGGGGAGATGGAGGGGCCAAACCAGCAGGAGAGGCAAGTGCCAGAGCAGGTGTGGGTGGATTTCAAGCGAACGGGGCATCGAGTGGAGCAGCGGCAGCACCAGCAGGAGGAGCAGGGGGGGGAGTGGGTGGAGGTGGGGTGGGAGTAGGAGCCCGGCCAGCCATGGCAACCGCAGGGACATCGTATCGTGACTATGAGAGTGTGACTCTAATGCGCATGAGACAGGTGAGCTGAGGGAGCTTGCTGGATGAGTGCATGGGGTGTTCATGTGCCATTGGTGCATGCTTGCCCTATGTATGTTTTCAGATTAAGTTCGTTGGATATTTGTCTCTATCATTTGCATCAGCTGTTCCATCCTCACCGTTCATTATGGCCTTTGCATCAAGTTGGTCTTCTGCACGCTGATGTATTTGTCTTGCAGGCAGCTGAAAGAGCACGCATAATCAAGGACATGCAAGCTGCCGAAAAAGAAGCAGCTGAGGGTGGAAAGGAGTAAGCTTGCGTAGCCAACAGGGCGGCAGACGCTCTGCCGTTTCTTCCATCGTTGGAATTTTCATCCAAAGTGCGATGTGCTCTCCACTGAGAGTGCATTTTTGTCACACATCCATCCATGGGCATAAAATGCTAACACATTTTGTGTCTATGGTACTATTTTGAAGTTCCCATTCTTGGCCCATCCTCGATACAGTAACATGTATGTGCGGAGACCGTTGGCAAAGGTCCAAAACGCGTTTCAAGCATTCATCGCAAGATTGCGTCCACACTAAGGTCGCTTGAATCTTGGCCGTCCAAAATTCCCCTCTCAGTTTCCTCGGTTCGGTTTGATGCTAGGCCTCTTGCTAACCCCCAGGGTATTCCGGAAGGGGACGGAATCGCCTCAAGATTACCCGTTAACAGGCGGAATTCCCCCGAAAAGACCCGTTACCGAAAGGAATCGGCCGCTACAAATTCGGCTAGCAAATGATCAAAGGTGGGGTTGGGCGAGGGGGGGAGAGAGGAGGGGGGGGGGGGGTTAGTTGGGGGGGGAGGGCTACCCCCTGCAGATTGCCCTGCTACAAGTATAGCCCGTACGGATTCGAACAAAATTTACTCGTTAGGCTAAGGAATCGCGCGAGATTGTTTCCGTCAGTTGGACGAATTCGAAAAAAAAAATCGCTTAAAAAACCGGAATCACTTGAAAGTTATTCTTAATTTCTCAACACTAAGGGTAATTACCTTGTTAGCAAGAGGCCTGTTCGACGCACATGATTGGGTTCCGCCCCGCAATGGGCGCCAAATTGTTGCAGTGAGGGGGTTTGCTGGGAAAATTACTGCCACGGACTGCCCACAAATCTTTTCATACTTTCGTGGACAGCCCCTACTTTCACGGACACCACATCAACCTTTCGCTTCTCCCGTGGACTCCGTCCCTACTTTCATGGACATCCGCCTTACTTCCATGGACAAGGTCGAAATAGCAGGAAATAGGCGAAAACTCAACTGTACAAAAAATGACGGGCGCTGAAAAAAAAAAGCAGGGGCTCAGCGTGCGTCGCAAAGAGTCGCACGCTACAGTGCCCCAAACCAAAATCCGAAACAGAATCTCGCCTCTACAGTATTTCCATCAATCGTGACCATTTCCCGAGCAGAGAAGGCAATGCCACATCAGCAATGCTGTGGAAACATTTCCGAAGCCTGCGGAAAGCTAAAATGCGAGGAAAGCCAGGCGAATAAGGCAGGGGCTCACCCCTCATACTATTAGGGTTTCTCCAGCATACTCACGCACGCTGCCTCACACGCCTCTCTCTATGTAGTCTACGTAGACTTCTACAGAAAGTTAGCTACGTATATACCAAGACATGTTCAGTTATTTATCAGCGGGAATAATAGTTCAGTTTTTACAATGTCAGTGCAGGACGCCCAGACGGAGATGCTTGCAGCAACTCTTGAGGCAATGGATTCTGATCCATCTCCAGAACCGCATTGCAACGTAGACGACAATTTCCCCATCGAAATCGGGAACTTCTACACGTCTAAGGAGGCCGTAATCAACGTCCTTTATGATTTCGCTTTTGCGCATCGCTTTGGTTTCGCTATGAGTTATAGCAAGCCAACCCGGGCTAGGGCAGTGTGCAAATCGTCTGAAGAACGTGGTGGCAAAAAATGCCCGTGGGAGTGCACTTTTAGTGTCTGCCGTATGGGGGGCTTTTGGTTGGTGAAGAAGTTAAGTCCTGCGAGTGTGCACACCTGTGACTGGCCGGACAGGGAACGCTACGTGAAATCTATGGTGAACAAAGTAAAATTCCTCGAACGCTTGTACGGAGCACTTGTTAGAGGGGCGCCGTTTCTCGCTCCGCGTGAGTACATCGACCAGATCGTGGCAACTGGGGGGCCTTCTATCAAGTATCAACAAGCATACAGGTGAGATTGACTTGGCATTTCAAATGTCACCAATTATACTATGTACTTCCCACATACCTTGATAGCCATGGTTTGAATGCAAGTCAGTTTCAACCCTTCTCGATCCATCCCCGTCCACTAAACAGATTGAAGGAGAAGATCGTTACTCAACGGTTTGGCAGTTGGAGAGACTCCTTCAGGTTCATTCCTTCACTCCAGAGACGTTTGAAGCTTATTGATCCGGGTGCCACTGTCAGGCTGCAAACATATCAACATCAATTCAAACGTTTCTTTGTAGCCCCTTCCGCAACCAGAGAGTCTCTAAAGTGTTGCCGCCCGGTAGTTGCCCTTGATGGAACGTTCTTGCTTTCTGCTCAACGTGCAACGCTCCTCATCGCAACTTCATTGGATGGTAACAACAACATCATTGTTCTCGCCTTCGCACTGGTTGAAGGTGAGAATTTTTGTAGCTGGAGGTGGTTTTTGGAGTGCTTCAAAAGCCACTTTCCTGACTGGTTAGGCGAGGATGATGCGTCTGTGATTAGTGACAGGGACAAAGGTCTTGTTCCTGCTGTGAAGGAAGTCTTCCCCTCACTCCCGCACTACTTTTGTTCGTGGCACTTGGAGCAGAACTTGACAAGGTTCGGTCCAAATGCTGTTGACCTATTTAGAAAACTCCAAGACTGCAGGTCAGAAAAGAAGTGGGAGACCTATGTGAAGGTGGCTAGAGAACGGTTTCCAAACTTCGCGGCGTACCTACTGGTTACACCGAGTGTTCACACCGACTTCCCACGCAACAGTCAGGGGACAAGACGTGTACGAAGGCGTGTGCCAACAACAGGCAGCCTGGGATCAACCAGAAATCAGCCAACTTCTCATGAACCCTCGGAGCAATCGCCACAGTCTGGGCGGCAGCACCAACAGTATGCTGGCAATGTTCGACAGCAGCCACGCCGACAGCAGGGTCGCCTCCAGCGGCGGGGCCAACAGCAGCGGCAGCATGGGCAGCAGCAGCAACCGGGGCAGAGTGGGCAGCAGACTCGGCTGTCTGAGCAGCAGCAGCAGCAGCAGCAGCAGCAGCAGCAGCAGCAGCAGCAGCATCAGCACCAGGGCCAACAGCAGCAGGGACAGCAGCAGGAGCAAGGCCAGCAACAGCAGGGGCAGGGTTCACATCAGTGGCACGGACAGCAGGAGCAGCAGAGTGGGCAGCAAGCAGGGCTATTTTGGCAGCAGCAGCAACAACAGTTGCGACAGCAGCACCAGCAACAACAGGGTGGGCAGTGGGGAGGGCTGTTTGGGCAGCAGCGGCAGGGTCAGGGGCAGCAGGGCCAAGGTGGGCCGCAGCAGCAGCAGGGGCAGCAGCAGCAGGTCCCGGGTGGACAGCAGCAGCATGGACAGCTGCAGCAGCATGTCCAGCAGCAGCAGGGTCAGCGTACGCAGTGGCAGCAGGGACAGCAGCAACATCAGCAGCGGGGTGGGCAGCAGGGAGGGCTGTTTGGGCAACAACAGCAGGGTCAGCGTAGGCAGCAGGGTGAGCAGCAGCAGCAGTGGGGTGGGCAACAGGGAGGACTGTTAAGCCAGCAGCAGCATCATGGTGGGCAGCAGGCAGGGTTGTTTGAGCAGCTGCAGCAGGGACGACAGCAGCAGCGCCAGGGTGGGCAGCAGCAGCAGGGTCAGGGCCAGCAGAACCAGGGCGGGCAGCAACAGCAGCAGGGTCAGGGGCAGCAGAACCAGGGTGGGCAGCAGCAGCAGCAGGGTCAGGGTCAGCAGAACCAGGGTGGGCAGCAGCAGCAGGGTCAGGGGCAGCAGAACCAGGGTGGGCAGCAGCAGCAGGGTCAGGGGCAGCAGAACCAGGGCGGGCAGCAGCAGCAGCAGGGTCAGCAGCAGCAGGGTCAGGGGCAGCAGAACCAGGGTGGGCAGCAGCAGCAGGGTCAGCAGCAGCAGGGTCAGGGGCAGCAGAACCAGGGTGGGCAGCAGCAGCAGCAGGGTCAGGGGCAGCAGAACCAGGGCGGGCAGCAGCAGCAGCAGGGTCAGCAGCAGCAGGGTCAGGGGCAGCAGAACCAGGGTGGGCAGCAGCAGCAGGGTCAGCAGCAGCAGGGTCAGGGGCAGCAGAACCAGGGTGGGCAGCAGCAGCAGGGTCAGCAGCAGCAGGGTCAGGGCCAGCAGAACCAGGGCGGGCAGCAACAGCAGCAGGGTCAGGGGCAGCAGAATCAGGGTAGGCAGCGGCAGCAGCATGGTCAGGGTCAGCATAACCAGGGTGGGCAGCAGCAGCAGGGTCAGCAGCAGCAGGGTCAGGGGCAGCAGAACCAGGGTGGGCAGCAGCAGCAGGGTCAGCAGCAGCAGGGTCAGGGGCAGCAGAACCAGGGTGGGCAGCAGCAGCAGGGTCAGCAGCAGCAGGGTCAGGGCCAGCAGAACCAGGGCGGGCAGCAACAGCAGCAGGGTCAGGGGCAGCAGAATCAGGGTAGGCAGCGGCAGCAGCATGGTCAGGGTCAGCAGAACCAGGGTGGGCAGCAGCAGCAGGGTCAGCAGCAGCAGGGTCAGGGGCAGCAGAACCAGGGTGGGCAGCAGCAGCAGGGTCAGCAGCAGCAGGGTCAGGGGCAGCAGAACCAGGGTGGGCAGCAGCAGCAGGGTCAGCAGCAGCAGGGTCAGGGCCAGCAGAACCAGGGCGGGCAGCAACAGCAGCAGGGTCAGGGGCAGCAGAATCAGGGTAGGCAGCGGCAGCAGCATGGTCAGGGTCAGCAGAACCAGGGTGGGCAGCAGCAGCAGGGTCAGCAGCAGCAGGGTCAGGGGCAGCAGAACCAGGGTGGGCAGCAGCAGCAGGGTCAGCAGCAGCAGGGTCAGGGCCAGCAGAACCAGGGCGGGCAGCAACAGCAGCAGGGTCAGGGGCAGCAGAATCAGGGTAGGCAGCGGCAGCAGCATGGTCAGGGTCAGCAGAACCAGGGTGGGCAGCAGCAGCAGGGTCAGCAGCAGCAGGGTCAGGGGCAGCAGAACCAGGGTGGGCAGCAGCAGCAGGGTCAGCAGCAGCAGGGTCAGGGGCAGCAGAACCAGGGTGGGCAGCAGCAGCAGGGTCAGCAGCAGCAGGGTCAGGGCCAGCAGAACCAGGGCGGGCAGCAACAGCAGCAGGGTCAGGGGCAGCAGAATCAAGGTAGGCAGCGGCAGCAGCAGGGTCAGGGTCAGCAGAACCAGGGTGGGCAGCAGCAGCAGGGTCAGCAGCAGCAGGGTCAGGGGCAGCAGAACCAGGGTGGGCAGCAGCAGCAGGGTCAGCAGCAGCAGGGTCAGGGCATTGAGAACATCGACGGCCCTGACGGTGGTGCTCAGCCCGAGCCGCATACGGATGAGACAGAATCTGGTATCCGAGTACGCACTGGCATGAGATGGGCAAAAAAACGTACTCATTACATCAAGATAGACGAGAAGCACTGGGCGCGCTTCCACGCACCCACGGTGCGTTTCGGTATCTTTGCAAGCAGCATGGCAGAGTCCATCAATGCTGCCATAAAGAAAACTCGCAAGCTCCCGCCAGCATACATGCTTGCAACCCTGTGGGATTGGATGATGAAAAGGCTTTACGAGGCAAGTGAGGACGCGGGTGAGAATGACGGGTTCCTGACTCCCAAGGCTGCTGAAAGGTTTGAGAACAAGCGGCACCGGGCGGAGAATTATATTGTTGAATGCTCATCCATTGGTGGAGCTGGGGTTGTGACAAATCGAGGGTCACCGTGGACTTCGCCAATGTCGTTCAACGTGAACATTGACACGAAGTGGTGTGAGTGTGGCAATTGGAAGCAATATCAGTTTCCATGCTCACATGCTTTTGCTATGATGCGCGAAAAGGGGAAGGATCCAGAGGATTACATCTCCTCCTATTTCACCGCAGCCAATTGGAGAGCTACCTACAGCACTCCAATGATGGGGGCTTGTATTGACCGTGTCATGCAGGAGAATGCAAATCCCGCTCACGGTGTGTGTGATCCTCCAAATTTTGTGCCGAGGGGTGTTGGAAGACGTCCAATGATTAGACGATTTGAGGCACCGAAGCGTCCAATCAAATGCAGCACTTGTCACAAGATGACGCGGCATAATCGACGCACTTGTAGGGGAAAGTATGGGGCAGGCTCGGAGGCGAGAGAGGTAGATAATAACGGGGAGTAAGTATGACGTGACTACATATGGAAATACTAGCCCCAGCAGCAGCAACAGAGTGGGCAGCAGGCAGGGCTGTTTGGACAGCAGCAGCAACAGAGAGGGGCAGCAGGCAGGGCTGTTTGGACAGCAGCAGCAGGGCCAGGATGGGAGCAGCTGCTGTCGTGGCAACACCAACACCACCAGCAGCAGCATCATCACCACCACCACCCACAGAAGCATCAGTAACAATAGCACCAGCAGCAGCGGCAGCGGCGGCAGCAGCAGCGGCAGCGGCAGCGGCAGCAACAGTAGTAGCAGCGTTGGCAGCAGAGAGGCCTGCTTGGGCAGCAGCAGCTGGGGCAGCGGCATGAGGGCCATGTTGGGCAGCAGCAACAGGGTCAGGGATGGCAGCAGGGAGGGCCGTTCCAGCAAAAACAGCTGGACCTTCCCCATCGCTGCCTCATTATAGTTCCTTCCCCCAACCACCTGCTTCAACTACCTTTGCTTTTTCACTTCCATCACCAAGTTCCGCCAGTCTCCTTCCCCAAACCCCACCCTCATGCGTTTCCAGGAAGATGATGAAGCCTTTCTTGAGTTCACTTTCCTTTAACTCCCCTCTACATTGCCAACCGCCCGCCGCGCCTTCTCATGATCTGCCTTCCGAGACAGCCCCTCTCCACCTGTTTGATCCGCTTTAAGCCACAATCTCCACCCCCTCCCATGCCTCTTCTCCCACATGCTAATTTTGTCACCTAGCCTTATTAACCACCCCATTTTTCTCTCCCCTTTAACTCGCTACAATGTTGGGAACCTAAATGTATTAGTCATTAAAAAAAAAGGAGTTGCTAATGCAGCCAATATTGTAGTGGTGGCCAGCAGAAGTTGTATATGTACTTGTTACCAGATGGAAACATCATACAGATCCCACCCACATCCCGATTTTTCACACCCCATTCTATCGATCTACTGATGGGCCCTCTATGCTACACACTGCTTTAACAATGATGTACGTTGGGCTCCCAACCCCGTGGTTTAATCCATAAGATGCCACACCATACTTACAATAGTTGGTTTCAGCGTTGAATTTAATAACTATCTTTTACAATCGAAGTTGTATCTCATATATTCATTAATGGTAACCTGTCATGAATGGCACGAACCATTTTTCGTGTTGTGAGACTATCCTTATGTGTGCCACCCTGAGAGTACCCTTTCTCTCTCTCTCTTTCTCTCTCTCTCTCTCTCTCTCTCTCTCTCTCTCTCTCTCTCTCTCTCTCTCTCTCTCTCTCTCTCTCACTCACTCACTCTCTCCCTCTCCCTCTCTCTCTCTCTCTCTCTCTCTCTCTCTCTCTCTCTCTCTCTCTCTCTCTCTCTCTCTCTTTCTCTCTCTCAATCTTGCACTCTCTCTCTCACACACACTCTCCCTCTCGCTCTCTCTCTCTTTCTCTCTCCCTCAACCTCTCTCTCTCTCTCTCTCTCTCTCTCTCTCTCTCTCTCTCTCTCTCTCTCTCTCTCTCTCTCTCGCTCTCTCTCTCTCTCTTCCTCTCCCCCTCTCTCTCTCTCTCCCCCACCTCCCCCCCCACATCGTAACTCTCTTTCCCTATCTGTTGCAAGATTTTAGTAATTTAGTTCGACGTGTACCGAGGTAGCTTGAACAGCAAGATTTATATATATGCTTTATGATATGCTGGAAATATGGCAAGGTACACAACCGCGGGCAGTGGTACTCAATGACATAGGCCTCCCCTTCTCCGAATCTCAGGAAACGGTATGGCAGGAGCACCATGAGCATATTGGGTTGGATGGACAGGATAGAGGGACTTTTGAACTGTCGCCTTCACTTAGTACACTCCTCTATTCACCCCAAAGATTTGTAACCTTACCTGTTTTTTTAATGTCAGTTTAAGAGTGTCTGAACGATTTTGCGGGCAATCAGAATTATATTTCTAAGACGCATTTTTATTTAAAACCTTGGTAAAAAACATAATTTCTTGTGGAAGTTACGCAGGGAAATTCTCTAACAAGGTTCGACGTTTCGCGCCGGAAGGGTTGCGTACCCGGAAAAACAAATTCACCTGGAAAATATGTACTCCATATGGCCCCAAATATAAATACATTTTCATTGAGGTATATATTTGTCTTTCTATGCTTTGTTATTCTAGTTTTTTTTTTTTTTTACCAAAGCTTGATTTTACATTATGATAAAACCATAATTTATTTTTTTCCATATTTCGACTCAATTATAGCACACGTATTATTGAAGTCTAAGCTTAAATTGGGAGAGTGAAAACTGGTCACCACGGGAAGTATTGTATTATCATATTCACTGGGATACAGTTTAGCGGGTAGATTTTTCTCGATATGAGACACTTAGGGCTTTCGGAAGAGTTGCTGACTTGGTTTGAGTGAACTCTGCTGACTCGGTAAGGGGTTGGTGGTGGTGCCCTTGGCAAGGCAATCTTGATACACCCAAACCAACTTTCTGCTCCACCCAACTCGCTCCCAATCTTGCTTTTCTTCGCACGTAATTCGTTCTTAGTAGGCAGTCATAGTTAGGTCGCCATACTTAGATCATCCTTACCATTTAGAATCGCTGCTCATTGGCACTAGGGGCCAAGGCGCCGCGCTTCCTGCCGCAAGCGCGCTGGCGCCGCACTTGCTGGCGCGAGCTTGTTGGCGCTAGGCGCGCAGGCGCCGCGCTGACTGGCGCTAGCGCGCTGGCGCCAATGTGTCTGGCGCTAGCGCGCTGACGCCGCGCCTAGGCGCGCATGTGCCGCGCTGGCTGGCGCGCGCTGGCTCTAGGGGTGCAAGCGCCGTGCTGACTTGCGCTAGTGCACTGGCGCCAGGGCGCTGACGCCGCGCTGACTAGCACGCGCTGGCGCTAGGGTCGCAAGCGCCGCGCTGGTTGGCGCTAGCGCTAGGCGCGCACGCGCCATGCTGGCTGGCGCGCGCTGGCTCTAGGGGCGCAAGCGCCGCGCTGGCCTGAGCTAGCGTGCTGGCGCCACGCTCGCTGGCGCAAGCGCGTTCGCGCCACGCTGGCTCTAGGCACACTGGCGCCGCGGTCACCAGCGCTAAGCGCCCAGACGCCTAGCGTCTGGCCTGCGTAGCGCACTGGCTCTAGACGCGCTGGCGTCAGCCGCTCTGACGCCCCGCTATGCACTAGGAACAAGGCATGCGGTGATCCTGCGCACAGGCACCGCGCTCGATGGCGGAACGGGCTGATGGCGTGGCAAGCAACATGCTTCGTTGGTGCTGAGTGATAGTGAGGCGCCCTCTCTTCTGGCAGGTCAGCACCTAGCAACACCTAGAAACACCTAGCAGCACCTAGCAGCACCTAGCAGCACCTAGCAGCACCTAGCGGCACCTAGCGGCACCTAGCGGCACCTAGCGGCACCTAGCAGCACCTAGCGGCACCTAGCAGCACCTAGCAGCACCTAGCGGCACCTAGCAGCACCTAGCGGCACCTAGCAGCACCTAGCAGCACCTAGCAGCACCTAGCAGCACCTAGCAGCACCTAGCAGCACCTAGCGGCGCAGCACCTAGCAGCACCTAGCAGCACCTAGCAGCACCTAGCAGCACCTAGCAGCACCTAGCAACACCTAGCAACACCTAGCAACACCTAGCAGCACCTAGGTATGTGTGCACTAGCCGTTGGCACACTAGCCTTCGGCACACTAGCCGTCCGCACACTAGCTGTATGCGCACCAGCTATTTGTTCGTTGTCCACTAGTTTACCATCTCCTAATCATTTGGCGAAATTAGTGCACTTTTTGCTAGCGCACTTAGTGTTCAATTACTGCAATATGTTTTCTAAACCCTAAATTCTGTTTGTTTCCTATCGCCATTGCGTGCAGGTCTATGTAGACGACTGGTAACTGCATTTGTGCATTGCCAAGACAAAGGGTTGGGGGGGGGGGGGGGGGGAGGGGTTAGGGGATAAGCTGGAATTGGAAGGGGGGGGAGAAAGAGTAGGGAAGGAGAGGAGGAGAAGAGGGGGGGGTGTGCTTCATCGCAACCAGTAGTAACTGAGTGATCAGCACATTTGGGCTTTCATGTTTCTCTCACAGTTCTCTTGTGTGTTGTGTTTGTACTCCCATGATGTGTGGTTCTTATCTTCTTTGTCCTCTTCTTGGTTCCCCCCTTATTATTTCCCTTTTCTTCCACCCTCCTCCCTTATTATACGTGTATGCGTGTGTTTTTTTCCGTGAGTATGTGGATTGCATGGTTTGAATCGTTACTGTTATCGTGGTGTCATGTTTGTACTGGAGTGGTGCATATATGCCAAGTGCAGTACGCAAAATGTGGTTGTCTTTGTCGGTTTGGAAAGCGTTGCTTCCAAAACGCACATGTCAACCTCACTTGCAGCACGAAAGCATTCGTGTATCACTTCATTGTATTCATGGCGAGATTCTACGTTTGCATACTGTGTGTATTTGTGGTCATGCATTTTGTAATATCGTGTTTGTATTGGAGTGGTGCATATTATCATAATTGAAAATTGAATGATAGATAGAGTGAGAGTACACAAAGATATACCTAAGTGCTGTACTCTCTAAGAGGCGACCCTATACAGTCTATACAAACATGACAAATACACATATTTGACACACCCCCTAGACTGCATAGGGGAATGCCCTAAACAAACAGCTCAGGGCGGCACTATTAGTCCAACCTCTGAGACAAGGGTCTAAGAGACCAGTCAGAAGGAGTACAAACAAGGCAAGAACAAGGGCATGGCGGCACTACTAGTCCAGCCACTGCGAGAGGACACAAGTCCAGTCTGAGTATACGTATAAAGGACAGTACAAAGTCAAGGTCCTAGCAAGTGAGAGGCTACAGGAACTAGACCAAGCTGTACACAGTGCCGCTGATGATCTTTAGGCGCAAGCGCCTTCGTAAAGATATCAGCCGTGTTGGCACCTGAGGCCAAGTGTACTACGCGAGCCTGACGTCGCTGCTGTAGCTCACGCAGGAGGAAGTACCGCAGCTGAATGTGCTTCGCTCTGCCCTCGAGTCGAGGCTCCTGACACAGGAGGATCATGGCCCTGTTGTCAGCGAACAGGACCGGGGCAGAGCTAGGCCGCTCACCTAAGTCAGTGAGCAAGAAGGTCAGCCAGCGGAGCTCCTGTGCCGCCATGGCACCAGCGTAGATCTCAGCCTCACAGCTAGACTGCGCTACAGACGAGGAGCGGGTAGCTCTCCACGAGACGGCACCTGAGCCAAGGCTGAAGCAGTAGCCCTGGGTAGACCTGAGCGTCTCAGCGTCGTCTGCCCACGAAGCGTCTGTGTGTCCAGTAAGGACCACTGGCCTGCGTCCTCCTAGCACTAACCCCATGCCCGATGTACTAGCAAGATAACGCAGAACCCTCTTAGCGGCAGACCAGTGCTGCGGTCGGTGTCTGCCTGTGGCCACAAAGCAAGCCAGGATGCTGAGAGGGTATGCGAGATCTGGGTGAGTGCAAGTCATCAGGTACATGAGGCAACCCACCAGCTCTGCGTAGGGGCCGCTGGGCTCTACCAACTCCTCAGACACTGGAGCGGAGAGTCTGTGGTCTACAGGCAGAGGGGTGGGCTGTGCAGAGGAGAACTGAAGGCTGCGACGGGGTCGGGCAGGGGCGACGGGACCGGGGGGGGTACTACGCGGCCCAGGAGGGGCGCTACGGGGCCCAGGAGGGGCACGACAGGGGCCCAGGAGAGGCGCTACAGGGGCCCAGGAGGGGCGCAACGGGGCCCAGGAGGGGCGCTACGAAGCCCAGGAGGGGCGCGACGAGGCCCAGGAGGGGCGCTAAGGGGCCTAGGAGGGGCGTGACGGGGCCTGGGAGGGGCGCTACAGGGCCCAGGGAGGGCGCGACGGGGCCCAGGAGGGGCGCTACGGGGCCCAGGAGGGGCGCGACGGGGCCTAGTAGGGGCGCTACGGAGCCCAGGAGGGGCGCGACGGGGCCTGGGAGGAGCGCGACGAGGCCCAGGAGGGGCGCTACGGGGCCTGGGAGGAGCGCGACGGGGCCCAGGAGGGGCGCTAGCGGGCCTGGGAGGGGCGCGACGGGGCCTGGGAGGGGCGCGACGGGGCCTGGGAGGGGTGCTACGGGGCCCAGGAGGGGCGCTACGAAGCCCAGGAGGGGCGCGACGAGGCCCAGGAGGGGCGCTACGGAGCCCAGGAGGAGCGCTACGAAGCCCTAGGAGGGGCGCGACGGGGCCTGGGAGGAGCGCGACGGGGCCCAGGAGGGGTGCTAGGGGGCCTGGGAGGGGCGCGACAGGGCCTAGTGAGGGGCGCGACGGGGCTAGGAGGGGGTCGCGACTGGGTGAGCGGAAGCGGTAGGTGGGGGGGATCCTACCTACGCGTGATACCATATCATAATTGAAAATTGAATGATAGATAGAGTGAGAGTACACAAAGATATACCTAAGTGTTGTACTCTCTAAGAGACAACCCTATACAGTCTATACAAACATGACAAATACACATGTTTGACACATATATGCTAAGTGCAACATGCAAATTGTGGTTGTCGTTGTCGGCTTGGAAAGCTTTGCTTCCAAAACGTACATGTCAACCACGCTTGCAGCACGGAAGCATTCGTGCATGGCTTCATCGCATCCACTGCATCATTGTACATTCGTACGCGTTTGTACGTGGTTGATTTTGTGTGACAAAAATGCGACCGAATGTATGTTTTGAAACCATTCGTCCGCCGTATTCATCGACAGACGGTTGGTAGGCAAAACATATATAAAGTAAGCAGCACAATGTCGTATCGTTACAACACTTTACGAGTGTAAAATATTTACATTCAACCATTTTACAGGTGTATTAACCCTAAATTTATTGTACACCCTGGCGCACAAAAACATGAAACCAATTTTATAAGGTTGCTACGCAACCCAATTACATTCATCATTGAAGGAAACCTTTCATTTTGAGAATATGATGTAAACAACAACAGCAGCAGCACTAGTCTGAACTGGTAGACAATTTGACAGAGCGTACCGATTTTTCCTTCTGAAGTACAGTAACATAGAAACGCGTGGGTACTGCCTGCCGAATCACACGTCACACGACTTACTGTGCGAAACGCACCAAACGAAAACCTGGCGTGAAAGTCGTTCCCAATTTCTGGTAGATTCTGTTTCGGATTCTGGTTTGGGGCACTGTAGCGTGCGACTCTTTGCGACGCACGCTGAGCCCCTGCTTTTTTTTTTTTCAGCGCCCGTCATTTTTTGTACAGTTGAGTTTTCGCCTATTTCCTGCTATTTCGACCTTGTCCATGGAAGTAAGGCGGATGTCCATGAAAGTAGGGACGGAGTCCACGGGAGAAGCGAAAGGTTGATGTGGTGTCCGTGAAAGTAGGGGCTGTCCACGAAAGTATGAAAAGATTTGTGGGCAGTCCGTGGCAGTAATTTTCCCGGGTTTGCTGCTGCAGGAGCCCACTTGTGGTGCGGTGGAGTATGGTTTTATCGAAAATAGAGCGGTTGATGAACATCCAAAACGGCTGATTGGGGTATTTGGAGGAGACGATCTCCTTGAGTCATGGCTGGGGATTGGGAGCTTGGTTCTTCGCTGCAGAATGTGGGGAAATCCCGCACAGACGACGTGAAACGCGGTGCGCTGAGGGCGTGTCAGAAGTGTTCCATTGAATGCGATTCAGTGGGTTCGGTTTCTTTTCAGAACGGTAAATTATGAATATTAAACGGTTGGGATAGGTTTTGAGTGTTAACGTTCCCTTTTTGCACACCATGAGAATGTCAATTGTCCATCCAGCAGCCCTCGCCACCCCACACCACAAGCACACAATTATTGTCCATCGTTGAACGACGTCGTGTCTCTCGTGAGTCCAAGACGAGGGTGTGATGTGATTCGAAAAAGGGCACAGCAGGAATGAAAGAAGAGGTGGTCTTGACGTAAACGTCGGCCATGATTTCAGAAGAATTGGTTCATTGGCAGACGATAGAGAAAGGTTTTCCGTCGTAGTTTCATTGGGACGCATCACGCCTGCTACCGTTCGCAAGCCTGCTGAAGCCTAACCCACCAGCAAACGCGGGAAGGCCGCTCTACGCAAATCCGCAAGCGAATGACCGCACACTGTCGTACTCATTCGCGAAGAGAATCCTCCCGCTGACATCTCGTCGATCCAATAAGGTGCCCGCCCATCTGGTAGTACCAGATGGGACGATCCACAGCTAGGTCGATCAACTAGGTTGGCTATCCGTCCCGCAAGTCTTGCCTGCAGCTTTTATTCCGGGGCACACGCATTTGCTGATTCATCAACTGGCAACGCCGCGGATTGCCGATTTTCCGTCCACTCCATTGAAACCGCCCGTCCAGCGTCTACTGTGGCTGTATTCTTCCCGGAAGACTTGCAATGGAGGTATGGGGGATGTCTCCGCTGGCGCTGCTGCTTCTCGCCATCAACCTTCTCCCGCTCGTCGCCATCATCGTCGCCTTCGCCCTCACTCTCATCTGGGCCTGCTGCGACGGAGGCTCGTCGTGCGAAGACGTATCCGACCAATCAGGAAGGGGCACGTTCGTCGCCTGGCAAGCAGACCCCGAGGACCCGCGGCACGCGTCGTTCAAAGCTCTTTCCCGCAGTAGCCCCGCGTTCATTGCCGTCGCTGCCGCTCGCGGCAGTATCAGAGCCGGCGGGGGCAATATCGATGCTCCGCGTGGCCTCCTTGCGCCGCTCTGCGCAAGGTATGGCGAAGGGGGAGTGGATGGAGCGGAAGGGTGGCACACCGGGTGCGCAGGGGAACGAGAGGAAATTCCTTACCTTGTTCCTGCACCGCTGGCTTACTCGCCTCCTGCGTACCATGCGCCGGACGCGCGTGGCGGCGGTGGGAAAGGTGAGAGCGGAGCGGTGACGGCCGTACCCTTACAAGCTCCCTCGATTGAAGGAAGAGACGGCAGCTGCACGCGCACTGATGAGTGCGCAGCGGCTGGGGCGGCGCGAGTGCATGCGACAGCGTGCACTGTGGGGTATCCGGCGATTACTAAGCTCAAGTTCAGCGGCATCTTCAACCTGCCTCCAGGGCACGCTCGTCTAGGAGCTCGGCCAGAGTGAGTGGCGCGGGGAGGCCGAGCGGAGACGTCACCAAAAATAGTTGGCCGAAAACTGTCCGAGAACAAAGGCCTAATTGCGCGGCTCGACGAGACCGCGTCCTCAATTAAGCTTTTCTGCCCATTTTGCTCACAATCCGGGCAACCCCGAACTCGGATAAACATTTTCTACGCGCGAGTCGGGAAATGTGAAGGTTATGGGATTTGAAATTGTGTGAACTGTATTTGGGATTTAGTGGTTGCCCGTGAATTACTAGCTGGGTCAACCTCGCAAGGTTTCGTCCAGCCCCACGCGCAGATGTACGAAATCTCGTTAGGTTTAGTGGAGCTTCTCCCAGAAAACGTTGTCATTAAAATCCCCATTGTCTAAACATTTTAGGACTTTCGCGTTTGAATGTAGGTGCTTAAAAATACCCGAACGCAGCTTGGAGTTCGCGGAATGTCGTTGTTTTGGTGGAGCTCACATCTCACTGCGTTTTGCTGGAAAACAATATATAGGACGGGATCCTATGAATTTCTGCCGATAGTCTAAAAACTTTGGCACGTTTTGAGAAACTGTTTTGGCTGACACTGTGGAATCTGGGCGGATGCAAACGAGTTTTACGTGGGAGAACACAAGAGTCCGTGGATTCTCATGAAAACTCATGCCCCTAAGCTCAACTTGCGCCACTAGCTAAATACCACTCGTAACTGGATAGCCTTGTCTAATTTCGGGCCATCATTTTGGGCAAGGGAAACATGAGAGTTCGTAGAAAAAAACGCGGTTAATCAAAAACGCATTTCCCGACTCGCGCATAGAAAATCTTTATCCATTTCGGGGTTGCCCGGGCCGTGAGCAAAACAGGTAGAAAATGTTAATTGAGGACGCGGTTTTACCGAGCCGCGCAATTCTGCCGAGAACAAACATTCCTGGCAGAAACAGGTGTGCTTCCAGAATGGCGTTTCGGACAGTTTTCCGAATGAAGGTACGACTCTTCGCGGACAGTTTTCGTGCACACTCGGGAAAACCAAACGTCCGCGAACAGACCCACTAGTGCCCTGTAACCTGCCCAAATCGCCCCAGTGCATTAGGGCGTACAGTTCTGTTGCATGGTGATCGTTTTCATAACGTGCTATAATATTGATAAAATAAATTAACGCCTTGCACACTTAATATCCAAACAAAAAACCACACAAACTACAATCAAAACCTCCTACCGCCGAAGGCCACACCAGGCAGAAACGGTGACAAAACAGACACCGCCACCCCATCTGTTTCAGCAATACTAACACACGCGATGGCCACGCGACACTACGGAAGCCTCCGGGCCACGGCCGCCGCTGCTGGCCGACCCAGAACCAGCTCCCGCCACCGAGGCAGGCTTGAGCGCAGAGAAGGCGCTCTCGTGGATGTAGAGGCCGTAATCACCCCATTTGAAGGCGCTCCATCGCCGCTCAAACCCCCTCTCCTCAACCCTCTGGCTACGAAGGAATGAGTCCAGTGTCGCAATCACAAGCTCTGCAAGACCAGCCAGGGCTGCTGCATTCTTCTTTGGCGACTTGGAGAGGTGCATGCAATCATCCTTGAACCAGCGCATGCCCCAGTCAACCTGCATGCGCGTGGTCAACAATTGGAGAAGGGGAGGCACGGTGGTTGGAGGGCAGAGGGTTTAAAATATTTACAAAACAACGGGCCAGGAAACACGCATCCCTGGGCCAACGGCCCAAACAGCCACAAACGGGCAACAGCCCATAAACACCCAGCAGGAACCGTGCTCAAGGGTAACTCACCAACAGCAACACCCATGCCATGTGGCATGGGTGCAGAACGAGCTTCCCCTCGACCTCCCAATCGCCAAACGCGGCAACCGCGGCTTGAAAAAAGATCCGCCCCGCGAGCGGTCGCGGGTCATTGGGCCTGCCGGACCATGTGCTCACCAGCTCCCCTCGATGACGCACTGCCATGTATATGACAGCTTGGACCATGGACGCGGGTGGATAATAAGGAAGAGTTCGAGCGGCCACACAATGCGAAGGCCCGTACAGCATGGGAGGGAAGGGAGACGAACACGCCCCACACAGTCACAAAGGAGGAGTGCAGCCACGGGGGCGGAGGATGTGTGACATGAGTTCAGTGGATAAGAGGCGGAGGGTGTGTGAGGGTGTGTAAGAGGCGGAGGGTGTGAGAAAGGGGAGAAGAGGGCTGTGGATATGGGGACAGGGAAAATCAGGGCATGGGAGATGAGGGCAGGGGAAAAGAGGGGGTTGCAGCTTGAGGGCGGGGGGGATGAGGGTGAGGAGTATGCTGGTACGGGGATACGAGGGTGGTCGACAAGGGACTGGACACGAGGATAGTGGATATGAGCGAAACACGGGATGTGATGACAAGAAAAACCATATGCATCACTGATTGAATGGCTTAGGAGGATCTCAATCACAGGGCAGTGGGCATGTACACTAGGGCAATCGTCGTGCTGGGCACAGGCACAGGCACAGGCACAGTCCCACGGGCGCTCCACATGAACAAGCATTGCGGTTGTGCGTATAAGCAGCAGCAGCCACGGGTCCATGGGAAATGCGGACGGTACTTACGTGGGCGAGGGTCGGGAGTGTGTGGGAGGAGAAAGGGCATCATGCGGCTCCACAACCTGGGGAAATAAGAAAGTACTAGAAGCATGAGAGCTCACTCGGTGCAAAAAGGTTCCACAGGTGCTTCTTGCGCCGGGGAAGAATGCGATGCGCCGTCACCGGTGCGTCAGCGGGGATCACTTGCATCCACACAAGCACCACATGCCTTGCCCGTGTGGACGTCTCGTTCCGGAAATGCGACCAAACGCTGTTGAGACGAGATGAGTAACCTAGGGTTTTCATCTTCAACTTGTACTCCATCGTCGAGAACACATGCGTCTCCAAGAGCACAACCTTGGCCCCCACCTTCCGAGAGGTGAGCCCAGGGAAGAATTTTACGCCATCGTGGGGCACTTCCCGCACCATCCGCTCCAACGATTCCTTATAATAGCCCTGGGGGGGTGCAGGACAACAATCACAACCCATGCCAGGCATAGGGGCCCCGCAACTAGTGTCAGTGGACTCGCCTATCCCACTCGCCCCGCTGGCAGCCTGAGCCGATGATAGGGGGGGCAGAAATATAGGGAAAAAATGCAACACAACTATCACTGTTGTGAGCCGGCGCCCTGTCCACCTGCGTCGGGAACAAGGGGCAGCAAACCACCGACACACACCCTCTGGGGCAAGCAGCCCGGTACTCAGGCATTCGCACGGCGGAGACGGGCATATAAGGAAGGAGGGGGGGAGGGATCAGCAGGAGGGCGATGGCATAACAATACCGGTCACCCTGGCAATACCGTTTTAGGGCCACCCGGTGAGTGCACCCTTTGCCGACGAAATGACAAAGAGCTCGCAGCGCAATCTAAAGGAGAGAGGGATGGAGGGCGTTTTCTGGGCTATCTATACACACACCACAGCGGGGGTGGAAGGAGTGATGAACGGGGATGGCGGGTCTAACGACAGCACCTCATCGCTCGCTAATAGCATGCAAATGATGCTGGAGGCAGCATCACGGGGAGACGGCTTGCCAGTGCAGTTATACGGACGGGGAGGGATGCCGTGAGAGGGGGCACCCCTCCCCTGTGAACGGGCAGTACTACGAGGAGGAGGGGAGGAGGGATCAACAGACGGCCCAGGGCTTGACACCACACAGCCCGCACCGGTTTATGTCCACCTGGCAAGGGGACCTGGGGCAGCAAAACGGAGGGATGGCAACACCCCCAAACGAGAGAGGTAGGGAGGGAGGGTGCTGGCCTGGGGTCACGGGCAGCACTGCAGAGGTGGAAGGAGGGATGAACAGGATGCGGGTGTTATGGGAGCACCACATCCAGGCACTGAACCTGCGACTCCCAGGGACGACACCGTGGGCAACATAACCGTCATAAGGCAAGACGGCCTCTGCTGGCCGGGCCCACCCGCGAGGGAGCGTTGGGGCAGGCCTTCGAAAATGGGCAGAACTGCAAGGAGGGATGGAAAGGGTAACAGCGGAAAGGCCAGTGTACACAAAGATTGGTCAGTCGGCACTGGTATAGGGCCACCTGCGGAGGGGAACCTTGGTATTGCATTGCCATCAAGACGACCGAGGGAGGAAGGGAGGGGGCTGGGCTGTCGACACACGCAGCTCTGCAGGGGTGGAAGGAGGGATGAACGAGAGGCAGTTGTGATGAGAACACCCCGGCCCGGCAACAGGCTAGAAAGACCTGTTGATGAACCCAGGGCAGCGCAATAGTGAAAAGGCAAGAAGGCCCTTGTGCCGCGTGGCGGATGGGGAAGGGGCGAGAGAGCGTGCCTGCGGAAGCGGGCTGTACCGCGGGGGGGGGGGGGGGGGGGGGAGGGGAGGGGGAGTTATGGCAACACTGGGTGGATTGGCGAGGTAGCAAGAGAGCAGGCCTTTGGGAACCGGATGAACTTCGAGGAAGGGGGGGGAGGAAGATCAACGCGAACCTAGGGTATAACAAGACTGGTCACTGGGCACCGGTGTAGGGCCACCTGGCGTGGGGGGAACCTTGGGCATCAAACCAGATTGATGACAACGCTGGCAAAAGGAGGGAAGGAGGGAGGGAGGGAGCAGGGCTGTCGAGACACGCCACACTTCTGGGGTGGAAGGAGGGATGAACAGGCATGCCGGGTGAAATGACAACACCTCCCCCAGTCACCAGGCCTGCGACACCTTGCAACGACAACGTGGGGGCAGCATACCTGTGAGATGGCTGGACGGCGCAGCTATACGGGTGGGGAGGGTGGGAGGGAGCAGCCCTTCAGAAAGGGGCAGAAATGCGAGGAAGAGGGAAAAGGGAAAAACGGACAGACCATAGTTTAACAGGTCTGGTCAGCCGGCTCTGGTATAGGGTCACCTGGCGAGGGGACGTTGGGCAGCAACACAGAGAGATGGGAACGCACCCTAGCGCGAGAGGACAGGAGGGAGGGTTCTGGGCTGTCGAGACATGCCACACTGCGGGGGTGGAAGGAGGCCTGAACAGGCATGGCGGGTAAAACGACAACACCTCCCCAAGTCACCAGGCCTGCGGCACCTTGCAATGCCAACGTGGGGGCAGCATACCCGTGAGATGGCTTGACGGCGCAGCTATATGGGTGGGGAGGGAGGGAGGGAGGGAGGGAGGGAGGGAGGGAGGGAGCAGCCTTTCAGAAAGGGGCAGAAATTCGAGGAAGGGGGAAACGGGCAAAACGGAAAGGCCATGGTTTAGCACGTCTGGTCATCCGGCTCCGGTATAGGGCCACCTGGCGAGGGGACGTTGGGCAGCAAAACAGAGAGATGGGAACGCACCCTAGCGCGAGAGGGAGGGAGGGAGGGTGTTGGGCTGTCGAGACATGCCACACTGCAGGGGTGGAAGGAGGCATGAACAGGCATGGCAGGTGAAATGACAACACCTCCCCAAGTCACCAGGCGTGCGACACCTTGCAACGCCAACGTGGGGGCAGTATACCTGTGAGATGGCTTGACGGCACAGCTATACGGGTGAGGAGGGAGGGAGGGAGGGAGGGAGGGAGCAGCCCTTCAGAAAGGGGCAGAAATGCGAGGAAGAGGGAAAAGGGAAAAACGGGCAGACCATAGTTTAACAGGTCTGGTCGTCCGGCTCCGGTATAGGGCCACCTGGCGAGGGGACGTTGGGCAGCAACACAGAGAGATGGGAACGCACCCTAGCACGAGAGGACGGGAGGGAGGTTGCTGGGCTGTCGAGACACGCCACACTGCAGGGGTGGAAGGAGGGATGAACAGGCATGGCGGGTGAAATGACAACACCTCCCCCAGTCACCAGGCCTGCGACACCTTGCAACGCCAACGTGGGGGCAGCATACCTGTGAGATGGCTTAACGACGCAGTTATATGGCCGAGCAAGGGTGGATGGGGGGAGCAGGCCTGCGGAAATGGGCAGAGCTGCGAGGATGGGGGGAAAAGGGAAAAACGGAAAGGCCATGGGGTAACAATAAAGCACAGCCCGTACCGGTTTACGGCCACCTGGCGTGGGGACCAAGGGTAGCACCACAGATAGATGGCAACACCCAAAAACGTGAGAGGGAGGGCGGGAGGCTGCTGGCCTGGGACGCAGCTGGCTATGGCACTGGTGGCAGCAGAACAGAGAGATGGCAATACAACCCAGTTATACGGGGAGGGAGTGAGGGATAGAGGGAGCAGGCCCCAGGAAACGGCCAGTACTGCGTGGAGGCAAGGACGGAATGAATGGGACACTAGGTGTTACGGTTACACCACGAACACATCCACCAGGATGAGGCCGGGAGTAGCAAACAGATGGCAACGGGGCCAAGTACATTGACACGTATGGGTGAGTATGAAAGGCCGTCACGCGAACTTACCCCCATTTCGGTGGCGTCTGGAATTCCCCGAAACCGGCCATCGGGGCCAGTCGGAAGCGCCACAACCACCTTGACCGGCTTCTCTCCCAACGCGCCAGCCGTTGCCTGAGCCGCCTTTCCCCGGAAACTTTTGGCAACGTGCCGTGCAGAAACTTGTGCGAGCACGTCGGCTGTTGCGTCGTCATCATCGGAGCTGTCGTGCTCGTCGCTTGCATCTCATGGCTTCTCGGCATCCAGCCCATCGTGAGCAGCCCCACACCCGACAGGAGCTGCATGAACTGGTGTGGATGGGAGCAGGGGTTTCGCGGCGAGCCTGACGGGCGTCGGGCGAGCGATGGCGCCATGCCGGGCAGAATCGGCGGAGACGTCCGGTGCTATGCCCTCGAATGCCCAACCACCCGCTGGGCCTGTGTTGGCCACCGCGTGACCACGCACATGGTCATGTCCGCCAGTGCCGCTCGTGTTGCCAGCAGCCATGACACTCCTTTCATACCATTCGAGTTGCGCGAAAAGCTCCCCCAGGGTCACTCCGCAGGCAAAAGCGTTGCCGTGTGACTCAGCCATATGGCGCAGCTCACTGACGGCCTGCTTCGCCTCATCCCTCTGTGCTTGCAGAGACGGCGCCTCGCTGGTGGGCATGGCAGCGCAGGTCTTTGCCCCCGTGGGAGCCAATGACCCACAGCAAGCCGGGTGGCTTGCGGCGCCCAATGTTGAACCCTGCTGCTCCGCCCTGTCATGTGAAGTGTTCACGAGCTTTCCGAGCCCACCGAACTGTAGCGCACGGAGTAGATGGCGCCCACCAGCAGGTTCCTCAAAAGCGTTTCCTCTCCTGCTCCGCTTTCGCGGGTGTTGAGACACCACCACCAGTGCTTGGCGACCTTCCAGCAAGGCCACTGCATGGTGGCGACGCTAACGCTGCAGCCGCCCGTGCTGTGGCGTCCGCGACGCCTTCGCGCTGCGTGGGGCCTGGAGTGTCGCCCTCTGGGTCGTCGGCGAAAAAAGTCTTCGAGCCGCTTCTCGGTGAAGTCGTCGTCACCGACGTATGGGGTCTCGTCGGCATCCACCTCCATCTGCACGTCGTAAATGTTGACCTTGTCATCGGCGGCATCATTCCCAAGAAGTCGCGCAATAACCACTGGCGGACGACCGTCGCTTCTCCACCTCGCCCCATCTGTCCTACCAGCTGCAACACCCTTTGCCGCCCCTGCTGCTGACCCTCGCCCCCCACCGTGCTTCATGGGCTGGCGCTGGTTATCCTTGGGGAGCACCTCTTCAACTGCATCGGCTGCGGCTTTGGCGTTGAGCCACACAGCTTGATGCTGGAAGTCATCAAGGTCTGCTGGAAAACCCCGGCCGAGGGTGTCTCCCGCACTTCCAGACATCGCGGCCTCCCCTTGACCGATTGGGGACTCCGGGGGGTCATTGTCCGAGAAGCTCTCAACACTCTTGCATGCACCAGACCCTGCGGCATCCGTATGGCCCACAATGCATGCAAGCTAGATGACGTCAGCTCGCTGGGCGTGCCTCGGAGCAAACAATGGTGCGTCATGCTGAGGTAAGACACTGGACTCGCGAGTAACAAACTCACCGCTCTTCCACGCACCCGTGCTAGCCTGTGGAACCGCGCCGAACTCTGCCAACTTCTTGACGCGTAGCGCGGGCGTGGCGAGGGTGAGTCCGTACGGGAAACCAACCGGCTATGAGGGTTTTGCTGGCGCTTTGGCGACGCCACTATGCAGGTGCAAAGCTGGAGATGGCTGATAATCTCGGTACTTGGGAAGAAGAGCGAGTAGTTTATTCACACCCTTCAGGTATACCGCCTTGGTTGGCTTTGGGCTGTTACGGCTTGAAGCCTGGTAGACACTCCCATCCGTCCAGGCTGAGGGCCTCCTATCCCGTGGTGGCCGTGAGGATGCAATGCTACCCATACCGAAGACTTGGACTCTATTGAAAGGCACAACCTAGCCCCCGCAACCTAGGCGACCTGCAGTCGCAAGCAACAACGAGCGGTGGACGATCTTGGCACGACAGCAAGAAAGGCTAAGCAGGGGACGGCTGCGTCAGTCATGCTTTCAAGTGGACTCCCTATGGAAACCTTAGGAAGAGCTTGGCGACCGTGGATAGCCCGGTCTTTGGAATGGCGTAAAAGTGGGTCGCCGTCCAATGAACGGGCTATGCAGTCGACAAGTAAACATAATGTGAATCGTAACTCAGAGCACTTAGTCCCATAGAACCACACTGAAACTTGTCAAATCTCTCTCAGCTTCCGTGGGTAAACAGGCTTGCAAAGGGTGAGGAGGAAGTGTGGGGATCCCTAGGGTTTGATTAGCGGATGTGGAGGTCGTTGGGATAGGCACCACGCAATGACTGCCCAGTCCACATGACAACCATAAGATCCGTGCGGATTTCAGTATGCGTATGCATGCCGTCCATTTAGAGCTACAATTCAATAGCTGGACGCTCAGCCAATGAACCTGTATGTAGTGGATCGGGGAGACCCTTGGCTCTGAGGGTTTTCCTATGGATCGGCAGTTTCAGTGGTTCGTATCGCTCACTCAATCAGCTTTTCAGTTTTTTGCCACTCGGCAATATTTGAAGTTTCTTGGCGAAACCCCATTTATTGTAGGGCTTTGGGATCCGTGCAGTCTGTACAAGAATCGACGAAGTCGGCACCAAGTGTGAGAGACTTTACTGCCTAACAAGCTTCTCTAAGACATCTATCCCAAGACCTCTGGTGTGAAAGGTTACGCTGCTTTCAAAGCATTCTGAACGTTAGCTTTCTTATCGCCTGAAATAAAGGGCAGCCACCTTCGAACGGAGTATCTATTTCCGACCGAAACCAAATGTCTAAAACACTTCATCGATACGAAAACCATCTCAGACGCCATGAGGGCGTGTCCAGCGCGTTCATTTTGCCCCACCACGAGTTTGGACGTTTTTTATAACACACCGAAATATTGAAACGGCAAGTGTAGACGTTTTGAGGTTCCCTTTAGATGGTGAACACGAAAGGTTATTCGCATGTGTCACGAAAGCCTGGCAAATGTAAGTGTTCTATATTTCGCCAGCAAGGATCTGGACATTTCTGCTGTGTATATAATTTGGGCACGATCTCCATTCAGTTCGGAAATGTGCGGCCCACGACTGGGGGCTTATTTGGAGGGTGTCGTGAGTGTACGAATGGACACGAAATTTCGGGTTACCATGTCAAACCGTCGTCCGTGATATGCAAAGTGAATAGTATACGAACGCGCTAGGCACGCCCTGAGGAAGCAACGCAGCGAAAACCCGACACACCGGACCTCCGCAAGGCGCAATTCGGGGCATCGTACGCAGAAGGAATCGGATTGCTACACTCGTTATAATGGTTTTTTCTACGGCTGCACGTGCCAGTTGAAGACCGCGAACGTGCAACGACGACATTTCGCGCAACATGTTACACGATGACTACCATGGTCTGAACGCACAAAAATACACGCACCGGCCTATGTTCCACCCTCATTGTGGGGAGGGTGAACGCTTGCGAGAGCTGACCAAACCAGAAGCCCTTGTGCCTCGTCCGAGTGTCTCGTCTCTGTCTTAGCTTCATATGTCCCACACATCTCCTCCCATGGCTGTGGTTGCGCCAACCACGCCTTTCGAGCGCTTCACAATGCGGATGCCGCGAGGAAACGCATGGATCACGATTGATGACGAGGCCGCAGCCACTCTAAATCCCGGCAAGTGGTTAACCGGAGACATAATCGAGTGGTGGGGATGTGAGTATCGTCTTCAGCAGTCGTATGTTGGCCAGGAGATGCTGTCGATGCGCAACATAACGACGTGATTGTCTGACGTGTCCAGCATGCTGCAGTACCGACATTTTCGCGCCACACCCTCCTGGATCTACACCTCCACACACTTTTACAACGTAGTTCGCAAAAATCGCGGCGCGCGCGTGCGGAACTTCGCAGGCGGCGAGAATATTCTACGGTTTGATTACGTCTTGGTACCCTTCAATACGCCGTAAGTCAAAGGCCGTTGTGCACACTATGCGGCGCTAGGTAATCGGATGCTCAAGGCCGTCGCAGCTACATAGCCTAGAGCGTCACTGTCCGTCCGACACATCCGTCTCCTACTGCGTTCCTCCCCCTCCCCTTGAGCCGCTCCCTCCCAGCACACATTAGAGCCTTATCGTACTCAAGAAGGACACCAGCCCGCGCAATGGCGTGCCGCCTCCGTCGGAAATAATTCATGTGGATTCTACAGGGGGTCACATCGACGGCGGCTTCCACGATACTCTGGCAGAGTAAGCGTTCAGATGCTCCCTCGCATGATAACTCACGTGATGATACACGCTGAAGGGATCCAGCGCTGCTCCCCCCCTCGTGTGTTATCCTCCCATGCAGATATTTGACGAGCCAGATGACAGCCCTATATACAGGCTTGACTCCCAAGCAAGTGGAAAACTGGACCGGAGGCATCAGGACCACGCGCGCGCGGGTAGGTGCTTCTATGCGCTACTCTACCTCCCACTGCTCCCTCCGTCCTCACTACCCATCTCACCCTCTGCCCTGCACAGGCTACCGAGCAGCGTAACTCCTGGGACTGTGGCGTGTTCGTGATGAAGTACATGCAGCTACTGGTTGAGACCAGCTTTGCAACCCCAGTTATTCTAACACTGCATGGGGAGTCAGGGTGCTGGAGGGACGAGTTGCGCAACGACCTTCATGTGTGGTCCGCCTGGTACAATAGTCGCAATCAGTATATTGGTTAGGGCTGGCCTATTTGCTTATTTTTTGGTTGTTATAAGCACGCTCCAAGACCCATGCCTGCACTGCCTCAACAAGCCAATTGACTTGCTGAGTTTGCTTGCGTATATATGAGGAATCTAAAAGGTTTTGCAAGCCACATTCTTAACTGTGCAATTCCGGGCGGGGAATACGAGTGCGTACCCGTTACTAACGGACCGTGCAAGGGTGGCGGTCTCTTGACGTGCAGTATTGTATTACTTGCGATGGACACTCATTGACTGTTAAACTAACACTCGGTTGCCAACGACGGTGTGTTTAGTTCAGATTCGAGAAGCAGCTGGTCGAACTCGCTGTAAGAACGGCCCGTAGGATCCCATATCGGGGTATCCTGCCTCTCCCTCCCACACCCCTACGCAGTTGTACCGAATGATCACACATCGGCTGGGTTTCAAGTGTTTCCTGCAACACCACCCCACGCAAACCTGCAAGGTTTGTTGAAACCCTAGAGCACGTATGCTAGGGTTGGAGAGGAGTGGGGTGCATCTTGCAATCCACGCTTATCCCACCTAACATCATCTCCAACTCGCCTTCCTATCCAACAGTTGCCTCCGCACATGCACACGATGCAGCCCGCAGACGGACGCAACGGTGTGAAACGCCGCGGTGGTCCCTACAACCCACCCCCGCTCATCGTTTTGGCAGTTTACGAGTCGCAGGGCGAGTCCACTACTTTGCCGCCAAATGAAGAGGCGGCAGAGGGAGTTGCTCACGTTGGTCCCCTGGAATTGCCGGCGTCGGTGGAAGATCGACGCCAACGCGATGCACACCTCCAATCTCTTTCCCACACCGACTTTTTCAAAACCATGATGGCGTCATGTATGGCGCGGATGCCGAAGGTCACAGAGGATGGGGTCAACGAGGATGACGAGGGAGGAAAGGAAGCCGCGACGGGTGTTCCCCCACAACACGTGCCTGGGCTACCGGTGAACACAGTCACCGTGGTCGCTAACGCCCCACAGCCCGTGCCAACGGCTTCCGCAACAGCTAGCGCCGGACCTGCGGGTGCGTTGTCCTCATAACACCGGTCGCCGCGCGGACTACCAGCGTATGCCGCTAACCGTTAGAGTTATCCGTTCTTCTTCCCTCACACGCATGTACCATGGCTCACCGTGCGCCTGCCCGCGGCTCGGTATGCAGTGTTCCGCCGGCATTGCTCAATGCCAGCTCCGGCACCGGCGCCGCCGCTGCAGGCACCGCTAACGGTGAGTAATTCGTGCTTATCCTGTGTCATGTAGCAAGGCACGTGTCGGTTTCCCCGTTTTGCCCCAGTGTCCGTTTCTCACGAGCATAGCTCAGCCGGTATGTGCAACCCGACCAGACATCGTGCAGGTTTCTACGCCAAACGGCGCCAAGGATAACCCAGTTTCCCTGGAGAGGCGTGTAGCTGGGTCCGCAACCACTGATGCTATAGTCGGCTCTATTGCTGGTGCATTAGGCGGGAATGTGCATGTGGGACATTGTGCATGGCTTCAAGGGAGAACCTTGCCTTGTCTATAACCCATGCGCATAGTCTAAAACCACCTCTGTGTCCGGGTCTCGTGCAGTTACCGTTCCGGTTGCGGCGCCAGCCATTGGGCTCGGCGTCCCCGGGGCGTCAGTGCGGCTTCTAGCATCCTCACTTTCAAATGGCTCTGCATCGGGTGCCGGTCAAGGTGCGTGACATCTGCCTATACACAAGGGGCTGCATATCCAACCACCCCCAAAGCCTCCGTCACCTCAAGCCAACGACTGATGTCCGTGATGCTTGTTGTGATATAATTGGTACTTAGCATTTCTGTAAGTCGATTAAGTGTAGTTAGTGTCGAATCTTACTGTAGAACATAAGTCCGTAGGATGACGTCAGCAAATAGCGCTCGTCATAGGACAGTCGTTTCAGTCACGCGAACAGTCGCACCTCTTCAATATCATCTAGGGCGCATAGCGCGATAGTGACGAACAGGTACATTAGCGAATAGGTACTTTTCGTAGAACTATAAATCTTTGTCAGGTCTTTCATTATTAACTTTAATTACTCACAAGTTCACATACTCAGGTTATTCAACCTTGACTATTACATTTTACAAGACTTCCGCTGTCTTACTAGTCTACCATTCCAGCAAAGATTCTGGACCAACACTTGAGGATTTGCCAAGTGTTCGTGTTTATAGTTTTATACTTAGTCTACTACAACACCAGACGATTTACTTCATGGTATGAGAGCTATCTGGAATTAAGACTACCGTCAACTATGACTGGTCCAACACCAGCACCATCTGCTGGATCAGTTACTGGGACTACTGGAGCACATGCCTCCACTACCGCCACTGGTCTCTCAACCTCTGGGCACTTTCCACCAGCCAATGCTAATATCGGTATGCAGAATCCGCCTTCTGTGAATACTCCAGGTGCTCCATCGACTGCACCTGCAACGCAGCAGCAACAGTCACAGACAATAGCACAGCAACAAGCATCAGTACAGCCACCAGTCTCAACGCAATCTATTTCATCTGCGTTCAGTGGAATGAGCCTTGACGGCTCAAGTTACATGCGTGGAGCAACAGCTCCAAATACTGGTTCGTTCGCTTTTTCACCTTTCGTACAGCAGCCGCAGTC